CACCACAATGAAAGATGTTTGGAGTTTTATTTGAGTTATTAATTTACATTTTTTGTCAAAGAGATGCTGATTTGAAACCGTTGTTACATACAGTTACGGCCTTTCCTGTTTCTGCCGGAGAGAGGGGAGTTTGTCCCAAAGCCTCCATCTGACAGGAGGGAGCCTCATGTGTCACTCCACGGAGTTCACTCCGTCACGGAGGGGGAGTGTGTAGGGCGTGGTTTGGGATTGGGCCTCTGTTTACAAGGAAGTGAGCCTACGTCATCATGATGAAGCATCTAGGGACTAAGGTGGTTGGTCAAATTTGCGGAATAGTTGGGGTAATTGGAGGAGCGCTTTTTTCATAAGCTATAGGCCTACTTGCTGCTTTCACTATCCATCAACATCAAGATAACGGGATTTCAAAATAACACGGACGAGTTGTTCAGCCAAGGATTCTCTGTTAATAAAGTTCACTACAAAATGTCTCTGGGACGAATCATAGACAAGGTGAGGAGGCTAGCCATCGGCTGTTAACATGACGTAGCAAAGCTGACGTTAGCTTGAACTCACTTTAACGCTAATGCAGTTCATTTTATTTGTAGGTACATTTCATATCCATAAAAATAAATCATATTGATCACAAACGCATTTAATAATCAGAGCTGTACATGTACTCAAGTACTTTACATAAGTAGAATTGTGAGATATGTGTACTTTACTTGACTTTTTCAATGTTTTGCTACTTTGTACTACTCCACTACAATTATTTAACCCCTTTAGTCACTTTGAAGATTTGGGTTAATGATGTGAAATATAAACAACACTTAAATAAGGCTTTAGTGACACCTCCAGTAAAATGACAAGCTCAGTAAACAAAGGGATTGCACCTTTTAACAACTGTGATAAAGACTTTAATGCATCAATAAGTATAATCAAAACATAGAATAAATATTATTTTTGAAATGGGACAATTTGCATAATTTACTTTTGGTACTTTAAGTATATATTGATGCTAATACTTTTCTACTTTTACTTGTAACAGAGTATTCCTACACTCTGGTACTTTTACTTAAGTGCAAGATGTGAGTACTTCTCCCACCTCTGTTAATAATGAATGATTGAACAGGGTAATTGTAAAAATCATATATCAAAATGTACAGTTTTCTGCAAAAAAATAAGGTATTTCTCTTTTTTTTTTTGGACTAAATTATCAATCAAGAAATCTGACAGATGAATAAATAGTGAAAAGTCAGGGGTTTATAATGAATTGCCACGTGGCCTGGTCTCATTGTGAATCTTTTTTGTCTTGACTCCTTGCACGATGAAGCCCTTGAACGCTACGCTGTCAAAGATCGAGCTCACCAAGCTGGACTCAAAGGTTTGGGTCGCTTTGAGCATACTCTGCACACAATACAATCCTCTGATTCAGGTGGCAGTTCATCCACCGCCCTCACTGAACTCAGATATTCATTATATATATATACGGCTTTTATAATGAAACACTTATCTTCTCCTCAGAGCGTGGAAGAGTTGAGAGAGGAGTCAATAAGCTGTAAGTATAACTCAAACGTGAATAGCTATTTAGAGATTTTTGTAAACTGTATATTTATTCATTTGATTACTTTCATATGACTTCCCACACAGCCCAGAGCATCACAGACACCTCTCAGGTAAATAGACCTCTGTGTTTATTGCAACACTTCAGTCTTGACGTATCATAGACTGCATTACATTAAAGCACTGTACAACATTATTTTGTATTACAGCTGATTTTTATTTCATATTTCATTCCATTGCAATGTAAATACTGTTATATTTTACTATATATTTTTAGTAATTTTGTATATTTTTCTAGTTCTCTACCTGTGTTTTTAATTCTTGTTTTTATGCACCACGACACCAAGTCAAATTCCTCGTACGAGTACACCTACCTGGTAATAAACCTGTTTCTGATTCTGATATTATATCTTTAATGTTTTGTTTATTTTTATTCAGCGCTGTCTGAAGGAGACCTTCACTGTCTCTGAAGAACAGCCCTCCATGTACACGTTCAGTCCTTCACCACCTTGCTATCCTGCTGCAAGAGCCTCCTTGGACGCGTCTCTCAGGTCTAGAAGGCATTCTGTTTCTGCACACCCACTGCAGACTGACGGCTGCTCTGTGTATGCTTCGGACCCCCCCTCTGTTCAAGAGAGACTGGACATCTACGGTGCTCCTGTCAGGAAGAGTTCCTTAGAGGCCCGGAGGGTGACCGACCTCAGATCACCTCATGCCTTTTCCAGAAGCCCCAGAAGCCATTCTGTGGAAAGCTGTTCCAGAGAGCCTACGAAGCCCAGATTACTGTCCACCCCGCCACAAAAGCTAACTGTGCCACTGAGGATGCGTCACCCTCAAGACCCCCATATTTCCCCCCACCAACAGCTGCGTTCCCCTCAGTCAGCTTCCGCAGCAGAGAGTCGCCACAGGCTCCGGCCGAACCTTTCCTCGGACTCCTCCCTGCCATCAGTGCGTGCCCCTTACTCCCCGAAGAAGCTCGACGAGGACTTTCTAAAGGTCTACCACAAGTTTGTCTGCCAGAACAAGTCTGGTTCCCTTAATGGGATTTCCTGCCGCCTCTGTGCGAGAAGCTCTAAGGCCAGCATAAGCTTGGCTCTGGCAGCTCTCGCCCTGTCGCCGCCCCGCTCAGTGTGAGGAAACGCCACAGGGAGTGAAATGTGGACAGCCAGCCCCAGTCGAAACGCCACAGGGACGAGTGATGCCCGTCCTCTCCCGGGTCCGTACGGCACGGCAAAGAGCTTCTGAGGCGCCGTCTCTCTCCGTATGAGCAGTCCCATGATGGCGTCTCCTATAGCGCCACTAGACCCAGCATGTTCCAAAGATTCAACACCCAGCAGCGCTCAGCAGAAGCACATCAGGAGACCTGGAGGTGTCTGCGCCGCCATGTGTCTGCAGCTCATTTTCATGACATGGGTGAGCCTGCTCAGTAAAACACAATATTATACTGCAGGAGACTTTATTTATGTCCTGTCTGATGTTTAAATTGAGCCACTTTCTTCTACAGGAAGTTCACTTGAGAACAGAAGAAACCATGGCTGGTCTCCCGGGTGAGTATAAGGAACTCTGAACACTGTTTGTTTTTCTATGCAAGCCCATTGCGGCCAACGAAAGAAAAAAGTCCAAGTAACCTGGGATAACCTGGAATAATGACTCGGTATTTGTGGGTATGCTATTTTGGTAACAGAGCAAAAAACACATCAAATCAACCCGTTTGAGATGAAGAGGCCCTGTTATGAAACTTCCTCTCCGCAGAGGCATTTTCATAACAGCGTCATGTAGATTTTGTTCAGTGCGGTTTCACCATTTTGTTAAAATGTGTAACCATTTTGTTTCCAGTGAAGTGGTTTCCCTTCATTGTAAGGATGAAAACTTAACTTCATTACTTGTAGGTTAGTGTGTGCACATAAAAAAAGTGCAACTACAGACATATAGAAAATGTTCAGGCTTGTTATTCTGCTAATTTAAAAATAAATAGGTTTAATGATTGCTGCAGACACTGAGGAATCAATATGAATCTAAACTGAGCAAGTCCATTTCAGCTACCTGTAGATTTAGGGTTAGGGTTAGGTAACTAAATGTCACGTGGTCGATTAGTGATTTATTTGCAGGGGATATTAATGGTCCCCTATTTTACTTTTTTTCATCAGTATATTACAGGTCTCAGATATATCCGGAGCCTGTCTCTGATTGGCTGAAACACCAGATCATTGCAGCATTACCCATAATCCCCTCTGTTTCAGCCCTGTTTCCAAAGTGCTGATTCTCTGTCTGTTACTTTAGATGAAAATAAGGAGCCCCTCCCCACGCCCCTCTGAGAGAGATTTGGTTACAAAGAACATAATGGTGCTCTAGGAGGAGATTCAGGTGATAACGGGATTCAAAGATCAGCGCACTAACCCACTGAGCCACAGCCTCCCGGCCAAACCATCTACAACAGTAAAATACTCCATATGCAATTTAACGAACCCTCTGTTTATTTATTCCAACATATCTAAAATAGGATAAGCCAATATAAAAGAGCGAGGATAACATCCACTGTAAAATGAAGAATAAGCAAACTATGCAATGCATCCCTTAAAACACATGTTACAAACTTTTTTGTGCATGTATGTTCTTCAATGGTCTGCAAAAGCTGTCAGAAACTCAACGTCTGGGCAAGCTACCACCACCACACATGGCACACACACCACACGCACACACACACACACACACACACACACACGCACGCACACACACACACACACACACACACACACACACACACACACACACACCTTAAACATTGAACAAAGCACCGTCTAACATTACGTTCAATATTTTAATTTAATATTTCTAATTTGTAAACTTCTTTATTACTCTCTCATACTCGCTCGCGCAGACACATATAGGCCTACACACATACGCACACGCAACAACAAAAAAGTGCCTGCCAAGCCGTTAAGCCATGACTTTCTTTTGTGTTCCACCAGCTTTACAACACAATGAAAGATGTTTGGAGTTTTATTTGAGTTATTAATTTACATTTTTTGTCAAAGAGATGCTGATTTGAAACCGTTGTTACATACAGTTACGGCCTTTCCTGTTTCTGCCGGAGAGAGGGGAGTTTGTCCCAAAGCCTCCATCTGACAGGAGGGAGCCTCATGTGTCACTCCACGGAGTTCACTCCGTCACGGAGGGGGGGTGTG